AATGCCATATCTCTTTCGACTGCTGAGGCTGAGTACATTGCTGCAGGGAGTTGTTATGCACGAATGTTGTGGATGAAGCAAATGCTTCATGATTATGGGATAGATCAGAACACTCTCACTCTTTTCTGTGATAACACAAGTGCCATAAACATTTCAAAAAATCTTGTCCAACACTCTCGCACCAAACACATTGACATTCGTCATCATTTTATTCAAGAGTTAGTAGAAGAGGGCCTTGTTGTTCTTGAACATGTACCCACTAAGCATCAAAAAGCTAATATTTTTACAAAACCCCTTGATCTTCTTCGATTTGAGTTCCTTAAAAAGACCTTGGGTGTAGTGCTCAGTAACTAGGGTGTTACCTGTTCCTTGAGTGGGTGTGAGTGGTGTGAGTGTTTGGATTATTGTGTGCTCGGATGCTATAATTTCATTGTCATTGAATTCTGTCATCTTTGCATCCAAATTTATATAAACACTACTCATGCTGCTTACAAGATCTCATTCTTCTTTGTTCATAGCTTATTCTGAATGTCTATACTCATTAACTTCATGATCTCATTTTGTACACATCCTTGAGATAAACTGTTGCAGGGGTTTCCACACAAGTGATCAAAGTTCTCTATGGACCACTAACAGTGTTTCTTGTACTTTTTCAAAGAAATTGACCTATACTAGTATATGATGGGTGATGTTGAGTCTCTTAACCATCCTCCATCATTTTTCACTTCCACGGTTTCTCCCTCAGTTCATTGAAGTTCGGGCACTAGGAAAAGGCTACATCAGAGACACCAACCAGGCCATCATTTTTGATTTCATACTTCTCTGGTTTGGTTTCCATACTCTTGAGCGTGCATGCCACCAATGAGTGCCCATAAGAAAGAAAAGTTGAAAAAAATAATAATAAAAAAATGACTCATTGATTGAGGGGGAGCCTTCGCGTCTACTCAACAAATATCCTGTGATTCCTAGTGGTTTGACTTTTCTCTGTGATGTTTAGTTACTCTTGCCAGAGGTCTAACCATCCGAACACTACGAGGATTAACTCTAGCTTTGTGGCCTCTCAAGGATCACACACACACATTTTTTATGTGAGCTCTCATGTTTGTTTTTGAGTTTTGCATTCTCATGTTGCTTATGATCATTGATTAAATATTATCCGACTTGCTTATGATTATGTGGTTCATATTTTTTTTAAAATATACAAGTTTACAAGCTTCATGGTGTGTGGATCATCTCATTCCAATGTTACAGTCTTCCAATGATACTCCCCTTTGTTTTACAGGCCACCCTTCTCTAGTTGAGTTGTTTTTGTTTTTGTTCAAAAAAAAAAAAAAAAAAAAAAAAAGTTAGAGTTTGGTGGTGTTTTGTCCCCGTTCAAGCGGAATCTATCATGCTCAAGTGTGAATTTCTTTCATTCAGCATTTAGTGAAGTGTTTTGCAGTTCTGCGAGGGTGGTTTTGGCGCTCGAGCATCCTTTTTCCAGCTCCAGCGTATCCACGTGTGCTTTGGATCCTGCTCGAGCGTTCAAACTCACGCTCGAGCGGACTGGTTTGGTTTAAAACTCCCTTCCTCATCTCTTCAGTTCATTTTTTCCCCAAAAGTCATTCTCTCTCCTAGGGCTTATTGGTGATTCAGTACATTACTCTTCTTTGGTGTAGTCTTTGGTGATTCCTGCGTTTTTGCACACCTAAGGTATGTCTCTCTTCGATTTAGCCTCTGTTTTTCTATTTATTGTTTTATTTTTTTCTTTCACTCTTGTTTCCTCCTTCACTCATGTTCGTAATGGTTGGGTCTTTTTGGTAGTGTGTATCCTGTTCTATTTTATTGAGTCTTTGGCATACTGAGATGGGCTAAGAACAATTACTGTCGTATGTTCTACTGATTTCCATTGGATCTGTTTCATTCGGTATGGCTTATATGAATCATCTTGACTCATCTCTGATTCATTTTGCTCTCTTGGGATTACTATGCATTGACCATATTGATTTATGCCATTATTTGCCTGACTCATGTTGATAGATTTGACTATGCTACTAATGTTTTGTTTTCCTCTTTTGGTTTAATTTTTGTCTTGGGTTGGGGGTTTTGTGTTTATTCTTTTGGCTTTTACTAGGTTTAGTCATGTCTTCTTCCAAGAGAAGGAAGTCCACTGCCTCTCGACCTTCCTTTAACTCTAACCGGTTTCCCTCGGCTGGGAAAGCCAAATTGTTTCGAGAGTCCTATCCGTCCCGAACCGTTCATCTCGAATGAAATGTTCAACCTAACACCTTTGAGTCTATCCATATCCGCCCACTTTTTGATCCCTTGGGTGGGGATTTGGTACTCTCTTTCTTAGGTCCTCAAAATCTCAATTGGGTTAGAGAATTCTATTGTAATATAGAGAGTCTTGATGACATTGGTCTGTCATTCAAGACTTGGGTCCGGTCCAAGTCTATCACTGTTACCACTGATCTTATTAGAGAGCTTTTAGGGATTAGTAAAGTCTTCCCTATTTTCTATCCTTTTCTTGTGAGACCCACTTGCGATTTTAATGAGGTGGCCACAGCTTTATGTTGTACATCTCGTCTTTGGCTCCCTAGGGCACTGATCAAACAAAATGAGCTTCTACTCCATTTTCGGTTACTCAATCTCATCGTGTGTGCCAACATTATAGTGACTACCCATAGCTCGGAAATAAACCAAGAACAAGGGTTTGTTCTACAGTGTATTGCTCTCAATCGCTCCATTGACCTTGCTACTTTAATTATTCAAAAGATGGTTGCTGCGTTTGAACGTAACAACCTTGGTCTGCCTTATGGGTGCCTCATTAACAGGCTTCTTGCCAAATTTGAGGTTTCCTCGTTTGACGAGGATGAATTTGCTTCACCGTCCTGGCCTTTCACCAAGAAAACTGTCTCCCAGAGTCAGTCACATGTTCGAGGGGTTTCTACTGGGGTGGGTCATTCCAGTACATGTACAGGTGATGCTGCCATGGCAGAGGAGGCTGAATTTGATGCAGCTGCTGCCAGTGATGCTGTTGGTGAGGGGGAGCAGCCACCTCCAGTCCGTACTATCTGTGACCAGCTCCACCATTTCGAGCAGTCTGTTGTTTCTCGTTTTGATCATCTTGAGGGCCGGATGGATATTTTCGAAGCTCGGCTCACGGATTTGGAAACGACTGCCGATGCTCGACTCACTACGTTGGAGGCCTCATCCAAGCGCATTGAGGAGTCTGTTGCCCAGTCTTCTGCTTATTTATCTCAAATCTTGTCTCCTCTCCAGATGCTGTCACCTTCTCAGCCACCAGCTCAGTGACTTTTCGTTCCTCAGACATTCTTCTTGGCTAGTGTTATTTTCCCCACTACCTCTCTGATATTTTTTGTTACTGTTTGGTTTTCTCCCAGACATAAAAGGGGCAGTGGATATTGTTATATTGTTAGAATTTGAGAATATTTTAGGCTTTTATACTTGTTGCATGCATACTAGATATTATTAGAATTTAGGAATGTTTTGGGAATATTTTTGGATTTTGGATGGTATACTTGTTGCATGCACTATTATTGATGGATGGGTATTATGTTTTTCAGATATCTTAAATTTGGTTATTTATACAGTTCCACAGTTTTGGTTGGTTTGTGTGGTTGTTTCTTCAGGTGGATTGTTCAAAGAAATTGTTCAAGAATTGCATGGTCCTTGGTGGTTGTTTTTTTTGTTTCTTTTTCTTGTTGTTATTGTGGTGGTTTTGTTAGGAAAATTGTTTAGAATGGTTTTGTTCGGGATTTGAAAAAGGGGGAGATTGTTAGGACCTTTTTTTGTCAAAATTCATGGAAAAACTATGTTGTTAGTCAAGTTGTAATCTTCCAATTTCTTTCTTCCCGCTCGAGCGGGGAAAGGGACGCTTGAGCGGAGTTTACACTCTCACAGTATTTTGCGTGTCTGCAAAAATACTAAGTGATGTGTTTTTACACTCGAGTGTGGGATCTTCCGCTCGAGCGTGAACCCTGGTTTGGAACATGATATAGAGTCCCTGCTTGAGCATCCATTCCCATGCTTGAGCGGACCGCGCGATCTTTGCTTCTATAAATTCGCTTGTTGGTCCAACTCTAGGGTTACTTTTCCTAAATCTTCTTTAAGGATCTTAGGGTTTCTTCTGAGGTTTTCTTTTGGAGTTCTATGTGAGTTTTCCTTGATGATTTGAGTGAGTATTAAACTCATGTTTTGATAAGAACATATCAAGGAGGTTGATTTGTTATATTCAAGAGTGTTCTTCTTCGGTGGAATCTGGAGATTCAAGCGTGGAGTTTCAAAGGAGTTTGATACTGTGTGTAGTCGTTGATTCAACAATAGAAGTTGTGGATTTAACTTCAGTCTAATCAATTCCAAGACGAAGGTTGCGGTGAAAGGTATACAGGAGATTTGAAGACAAATTGGAAGCGTTTGGGTAGTTTGTTTGTTATCTTTGTAATCTTTATTTCTTCGGTAGTGGATTGATTAGTGGTGTTTCGTCTGTGGTTTTTTAATCACAATTGAAGGTGCTTCAATTGTGGTTTTTCCACGTAAAAATCGTTTGTGTCGATTTATTGTTTTTCGAAAAATAACAATCTAAATCACTTTTGTAAGTGCTTGATGATTTAGATTGTGTGTTTTGAATGATTGGGAATTAGAGTAATTAAATCTTGATATAATCACGAATCACTTAGGATTTTCACAAGGTAACCTTCAATGTTAAATTGTTTTAATTAGTATATCGGTGCTCAAAAAAAAAAAAAGAAAAAAAATGAAGATCCTTAACTACGAAGTTATTTTTTAAAAAAAGTTATTGAGATTGAACTAAAATCTCTGTTTTTTTTTCTTTTTTTAATAGCAAATTATGAGTTCAATAGATAAATTTTGTATGAAAAATGCAATAGTCATTAGTAGAACTTGTAGTGAATGTGTTAGACATGAGGTAGAAAAAGACATTAAATAATGAAGATGACAAAAGGGAAAGATGAAAAAGTAACATGCGTCACAACTCACAAATGGTAATTTGTCCTCAAGGTTTTCTTGAAGAGGGACAAGAAATAGCTGTGAAGAGACTTTCGAGGAATTCTAGGCAAGGATTAGATGATTTCAAGAATGAGGTTATTTGTATTGCCAAACTCCAACATCGAAATCTTGTGAAGCTTCTGGGATGTTGCATTCAAGGAGACCAGACAATGTTGAACTATGAGTACATGCCTAACAAAAGCTTGGACTTCTTTATTTTTGGTTCGGCCCTAAAGCTTAACAAGTTCAACTTTTTTATTTTAGTTTTCTTGGCATTCAAGTGGTTTTATATTTAGAAACTCTTTTCTAGTTATATTAAAAAACTTTGCACAGATTGGACCCGTGGCACATTACTGGATTGGACTAAGCGCTTAAACTTCATCAACGACATTTCTCGGGGGCTTCTTTATCTTCATCAAGATTCTAGACTAAGAATAATCCATAGAGATCTCAAAGCTAGCAATGTTCTGCTAGACGTTGACATGAACCCAAAGATATCGGACTTTGGTGTGGCTAGAAGTTTTGGAGGAAATGAGACAGGAGCGAATGCAAGCAAAGTGGTTGGAACATAGTACGTATATATGCATGCTTTATGTTATTCAATCTTGTTTCTGTAAATGTTTTCTTCTTCTAATGTTTTACTATAGTGGCTATATGTCTCCGGAGTACACAGTGGATGAGATTTTCTCAGTAAAGTCAGATGTATTTAACTTTGGTGTTTTGGTGCTAGAGATTGTTAGTGGAAAGAGAAACAGAGGTTTCAATCATTCAGACCACCATCTCAATCTTGTTGGGCATGTGAGTTCCAATCACTACAGGGAAAATGAGTTTCAACGACGTTTTTTTAAATGTCACTTTTTTATATTTTTAACGGCGTTTATAACTGTTGCATATATTATTTATCAAAACGACACCGTTTTATAATTAAAGGCGTTTAAAAACGCCTCCAAAGGCAGTAGGAACACGCGCTTCCTTCATCCTACGTTTTTGTATCCTTCGTTTTTGAAACCCTTATTTTGAATCTAAGCCCTTTCTCTCTCTCTCTCTCTCTCTCTCTCTCTTAACCCTTGTACGCACACATCTCTCTCTCTTTCAACCCTCTCTGCATCGGCGATTTCTTGACCTTCTTACTTAGGGTTTTTGATATTTTTATATAGAATATTCACAAATGTAAAAGTGAATATCCCCACTAGGTGTTGTCAACGAGAACCACATCTGCACCGAAGCTCCATCTGCACCGGCGATTTCGAAGATTCGGAGCGATTTCGAAGCTTCATCGCCACCACCATCTACACCGGCGAGGCAGCGAACTCCACTGTCTCTCTCTCTAGATCTATGAAATCAATGTTTTAAGGCATTCTTACTTGATCCTCATTTGTAGAGATTCAGGGATTGCAGGGTGATTTCGACTTCGAAACTCCATCGCCACCACCATCTGCACCGGCAATTTCGATTTCACTAAGGTGAGCTCTACCGTTTCTCTCTCTCTCTCTCTCTCCCTCCTCTCAAATTACTTCAAATCCTCAAAAAACCATAAAAAAAAAAGAGCTTAAAAGCCTACACCAAACACTTCACTCTTTTTGTGTGGGCTACTCTATATTCTAGTTATTTTGAAAAATGTGGGTTTGATTTATCGAGGACCTTTTAGGCTTAAAGTTAAGGATCCATGGAGAATTGAAGTTAGGAATTTGATAGATGCTACATATTGTTGAATTGTTACGTGCTTCAGCTCATATTGTTGAATTGTTGAATTGACACGTTCTTAGTTCAATGTCCTCAAATAGTGAATCATGGATTTCCATTCCTTCTTTTTGTAGAATAACATAAAAAAGTTCAGACCAACTAATATTTAGTTTTGAGTTGATTGAGTTGCCATCTACTGAAGACCCCTGTAGAGACAGATGAATACCCACGAGTGTGCTTTGTCTCATCTTTCATGTCATACAATGTTTAGTTGGGTCATGCCATGTTGCATGTATATTTTTTCTTTTACCTGTCTCAAAATCTCATTGGTAATATGGGTTAGGAATTTTTGGAATTATGTGCTGACTTATTTCTGTCAAGACTCTTGTTATGACAACCCATCAGTGTTTGCTCTGTCTAGTATTATAATTACTGTTGGAAAAAAAATAGTTAAAATGAGCTAGTTAAAAATAGTCCAATAAGCATGACCAAGTGGCAGTTGTTCTAGCAGATTGATTAATCCTTCCAGATTCACCGTAGTTATGGGAGTATGCTTGAAGGCGAGGCTAATGAACTTAAGGTATTACTTTTTCTTTGAGCATAAGAAATCTCTCTGGCATGATGTAAATAGGAAGCTTTGAAGAAATATGTACTTCTGGATTTTAGTTCTAACTTTTGTTTTGGAAATCAAGCAAATACATAATATTTGCCAATCAGTCTTTCAATTTCTCTAATAGTTGAAGTGAGCTTATTTAGTGCATATAAAATGATGTTGCAAATTGAAAGGAGATTTGCCAGAAACTTTGAGATATATCGATTAAGTTTATTTATGGGATCAACTATGCACTATAGTACACACGTGGCTTATTTTTCATTGTAAAGTTGCTAAGCGGACACATTATTTTATCTGATGGAAAATTTTTACTATTTTAATTCTAAACATTTTATCTTTCTACTTTGACCGACAATCTTTCTTAGTGCTTGAAATTTTCCTGTTTCTGCATTGGGAAAAGCGGTATTGTTGCATTAAAATCTAAGAAGCATGGATATGGGTATGAGTATGGACACATATACAACACAATACATAAAATTTTCCTGTTTATGCATTGAAAAAAATGGCAATGTTGAATTGCAATCTAAGAAGAATAGGTACGGGTATGAGTACAAACACAAACACAGATACAGCATGATACATACATACACATTTTTGAAGTTAAGAACTAGCTACTTCTTTAGAATATGTTCTAAAATGTGATCCTCGTATGGTTTGGTTGTGTTTTTTTGTTATTGGCTTTGCTTCTTTTTTGGTTCTGTAACTATTATGCATGTTCATACAAATGTGTATACATGTTTACTCCAATTCTGATTTATTTATTCTTTGTTTTAGAGAGTATTCTTGGAAGGGAATCCGGACCTTCTGGTGATTACAATGATTGTCTCAGTATTTCATTCCGTATTCGACTTCTTGGCATTTAAGAATGGTAATGGCAATCATTTATGCATCTTCTATGATGATCTTTATGGGAATTATAGCTTGTTAATTTATTTTTGATAAGATTTTACTATTTGAAAATGTTGTTAACCTTGTTACAGACTTTGTTACTTGTATTTTTTACTTCGTATATCTGGAACATTTGTTGTTTGTTCGTTCGTTCGTTTGTTTTGTTTTGTTTCGTTTTGTTTTTTGTTTTTTTTTTCTTTTGCACAATGATTGTGGACTATTTCAAGTTGTTTAATTCTGATTCTCTTGCAAAGTCTAAGTTCTAATATAGCCATTGTTTTGTTAGATATTATTTTTTAGGGTCAATTACATCAAGGCCCCCTTAACTATTAGTGAATATTATCTTATCCTTTCGTATATGAACCCGTAGAAATGGGAAGCATTATTTTACATTGCAGTGATTCATTCTGTTAATATTATTTCTGTTGCTTTTTTTTTTTTTGGCAGACACATGAAGTACAAGGCTCAGGTTCAAGCTGTGAGTTCATTGTTCCTCTTACTTGTTGATGGTTAAAAATGATTTAACAAACTCTTTATAGAAATGGCTTTCATGTACATTAATTGGATGCTTTATGTTATTAATGGAGATTTTGTAAAAATACCAAGCCTTGTGGACCTTAAGGTATGGTAGGCAGAGTCAATGGCAGGTTCACTATCCATGGTGCATATTAATGACCTTAAATTATTATTTTGTTTGCTTTACGGTTTTTATTGAAGAACTCATTTGATGAAAGCCTTTGTATTATCTCCTTCTTTTCCCCCTTGACTAATGACTACTATTAACTAGCTAAAATTTAGTGGATGCTTTTCAATCTCTAGAGAATCTAATTTGGGGTTAAATTACAAGATGAGAAGAGATTAGGCATCCACTTTGCTCAACCAACAGGCTGGCCTCTGTTCATCATTCCTTGTTTCATATATTAAACCTAAAATAGGTAACAAATAAGTATAATATTGTCACAACCCGAACCCGCCCCTATGGGTTAAGGCCATAATCGGCCAGTAATCATGAGATTACCTACGGTCTCAATCCAAATAAAACAAAACTCATCAGAGTAAAGGGGCCAAACGGAAGCAATTTAAAACTTTGTCCATAGAGCTGTGCTTATATACACACCATAACATTCCAAACATTTATATGTTAATAACTCACATCGAAATATGTACTAACACAAAACACTGTACATACAGGATCATACAAGTTTAAGTCAGTCGAACCCAAGACTTATATACAAAAGTAATCCAATGCTTTCGCCAATCATAACAAAAGCTATGAACAAAGGACAAAGGCGAAGACAGTCTCGTGCGTGAGACGTTTGGGTTAACTCCTCAAAACTCTGACTGTTTCTCACAAATTCACCGAGGCTGGTTCTAGACATCTCTTGGCTCACCTACATGTACATGAATGAGCATGAGCAAAAGCCCAGTGAATAATATCAAATAAGGTAGATACATAAGCAATCTTTGAAACAGTTACAACAGACGGCCTTTGGCCCAATCACTTGGATCAATCGGTCTTCAGCCCAATCATTTGTGTCAATCGGCCTTCGGCCCAATCATTCATGTCCATCGGCCTTTGGCCCAGTCATTCTCATCAATCGACCTTCGACCTAATCATTCATATCAGTCGGCCTTCGGCCCAATCATTCATGTCCATTGGCCTTTGGCCCAATCATTCATATCAATCGGCCTTCAGCCCAATCGTTCATATCAATTGGCCTTTGGCCCAATCATTCATGTCCATCGGCCTTTGGCCCAATCATTCATATCAATCGTTGTCCACCATTCAAATTAATGAACTTCCAAAACTTACATAGAAGTAAACAATTGGACAACAGTATATTTCAAATATCTTGTTAAGATATTACTCACAGTGATCGGCTTGTGGATTTGCCCTGGAGCTTGACCCTACACATCATATAACACATATGGGTCACAAACAATTCAATCTGTTCTTAAATTCACATATTTAGGCTTCATTCTTATCTCTTTAACTCTATTACAATGCTTAATGCATGCCTAAGAGTGCTTGCAAGTGAAAGAGAACGGAAAACGGAACACAGAATACACTTTCAAAATTTTAGAAAACAGGGTCTCCGCTCGAGCGTGGACTTCCCCGCTCGAGCGGACCCAAGAGGCCTGCAAAAGTACTGGTTATGCCAAATTTATACTCGAGCGTTCACTCTGGTGCTCGAGCGGAAGGCCTCTCTACATGGCTCCCCGCTCGAGCGGACGCCATGTCTGCAAAAAGTACTGGATGCATCATTTTTACGCTCGAGCGTGAACTTGGACGCTCGAGCGAAAGTTCATCCTACATAGGTCCCCGCTCGAGCTTGAACTTCCCCGCTCGAGCGGACACCATGTTTGCAAGAAAAATACTAGGAGCTCGAAATCCCCGCTCGAGCGGCGGTTCCCCCGCTCGAGCGGACATCATAAATTCTGGGTTTTCCAGAATGGTTTCTGAGTTCAAATTCGACATTACAACTACATTTCTTGCATATCATGGCTCCAATTTCACATATACTTGTACTAACATACCAACATTAAAATACACCAACATGGAGCTCAATTTCTTGTATTACACACATGCATGTTCCAAACTGACTCAAACTCATCACCAACACACTAAATTCAAACATGCAAAGCTTACATTTCCATGATCTACACTTGCATGTGGGACATACACATTATTCCCAACTTATATGGTGAAGAAATGGTCATATACATGGATTTCAATCAAACTCCAACATGGATTACACAATTTAAGCTCAAACATGGAAATCCATAGCAATTTTCTACATGCATGTGTTCTATGACTTAAAATTCAACAAAATCAACTCAATTCCCTTATAATCAAACTAACTCATGTTCTTGGCCATTAATCAAACTTGAATTTACAAATTACAAACAAAAATCCATGAGTTTACTTACCCAAGAGTTCAACCTTCCAAACTATAACAAAATCTTGGCTTTAATCTTCAAATTCCCCAAACCTTGAGCCAAAATCACCCAATTCTCTCCCTCTTTCTCACTATAGCCAGCCCTCTCTCTAATTTAGAGTTCAAATTAGCCAAATGAAGTTATGAAGAGGAAATAGGAGGTGTAGTGTCTTAATATAACAAACCCCACTAACATCAATTTAATTTGATCCGAATCAATTTCCAGTTAAATTTCACCGTAGACTCTAAAAATTACGCTAGTTTTCTTATTGTTGACTAGTAGAATACACATTTTGAATTTGTTTTTTATCCATTATTTTATTATTGTTGACTAGTAGAATACACATTTTGAATTTGTATTTAATAGGTGACATCTCTAAATTGATTTTGTAGCTCCACTATTGCACATGAGATCTATCATGAATCTTACTTCAATAATTTGATTTATTAATTTTGTAATCTCGTGTAGGTAAATCATTCAAAAATAAATAAATAAGTCAGATTGATCCATTAATCATAACACATATATTTAATTTCAAAAAAATTAATGGTCTAACTTTATCTATGTTTGGCTACCAACACATGACTAACTAACATTTACTAATGCCTCATTTGGCTCAATTTAGAAATTATAAGTGACTTAATTCCCTATCTAAAAAAAAAGTGAGTAAATTTTTTATTTTTAGTGAATTTATTTTCATCTTTTAATCAAAATTCTTTACTTTAGATAACATTTGAACTTGAACAAATGAGCATGAAAAAATTTGATTCGGCATTGGGACATCCACAATGCAATGGAAGTTATCCAATCCCCTCAAAGCATAGATCATGTCTAGTGAAAAGGAGCTCATTGCATAAAAGACAGTCCGAAAGACCCAAGCCTTTTTCGCATTCTCTTAAGATGATGCTCTTTATTGGCGTCTTGACCTATGAGGTATGGTACGTTCTTTTGTTTTTTCTAACCAATGTGTAGGTACTCGAAGCTGTTGCTGATAGAAGTTTTCTCGACTATTCATGGTGATAGTACGTGGGTTTTGCAATATTTATTTTAATCCTTCATTGTAATGTTGTATTGTGATAATGTACTCACTCTTGCGATTTCATTAATATTATGATGCATCTTATGCTTCCTAAAAAAAATAAAAAAAAAAGTCTTTACTTTTAGCGCTTTGGTGATTACTGTGGAGGAGTGAAATAGAAAACTTTTGATACCATGTTACAATATTTAAGAGAGAGAGAGAGAGAGAGAGAGAGAGAATATTATGTTATGTGTATATTCAATATTATGTGTATACAAGACTCTTTTATATAGGAGGAGAGAAATCTAAGTATGATAATCCTAAGTATGGTAATGAATATAATATGGTATCTATGATAGTTAGAATATATGGTTACTATATTTAACACCTCCCTTAAACTCAAGTAAGGATAATAACTTGAGTTTGGAGAGAGAAACTAAAACATAAAATAAAACTAAAAATATGGATAGATCCGAGGCAAATAGATTGCAGAGTCCAGATTGAAGCACAAGAGTGCTTGAGATAGATTAGAGGCCGAAACTAATGCCGGGAGACAGTTTTTGGTGAGGTCATATCGAACCGTCCAGGAGCGCCAAAGGTGCGCCTGGAAGACAATTTTTGGTTGTGTCGAACCATTGAAGAAGAACTGGATGTTGAACTAGCAAACATGGCATACACATAACTTATGACATCATGCTGAACGATGATGGAAACAGAAAAAGAAGTGTGCCATGGGGCAGCTTGGAAAGGAACCATGTGCGCCAAGAGGTAACTTGGAAAAGAACAAAAAATGTGCTAAGAGGGCGACTTAGGTAGTGTGCCAAGGAGTGGCTTAGGGAGTGCCCCAAGGGGACGACTTAGGTAGTTCGCCAAGGGGACAGCTTAAAGAGGTTTGTATGTGCCAATGGGGCAAATTGGGTGGTTTGCATGGTATATAACCATGCTCACCATGATATAGATATAATACCCCCTCAAACTCAAATAGGGTTGAAAATAGAAACCTATTTCAGGTTGAAGCAGAGGGAAAGATAGAGTGGAGAAAAAAAAGAGATTTTTTTTTGAAGAAAGAAATAAATTTTTTTTTTGGATGGGTTGGTGGAAGCAAGCCCATGTGATGGTAGGAATAAAATAAATAAAAAATGTGTAACAAAACTTAGTTTTGCCATTGAAGCTAATGAAGAAAAAATAATAAAATATGTAGTATGATATTGAGATGGCGATGGGTTTGTGGGAACATGGTGAGATGGTGGCGATGGCTGGAGTTGGGAGATGCAGCGAAACTTTGGTTAGTGATAGAGGAATATAGAGAAACCAACGGAAAAATGAGGAAATCACCACGAAACAATACTGAAAGGAAACTATGGCAGTGGATTGAGTTGAGGTCCGGCAGGCAGCCAAGGCAAGGCTGCCGCCCTCCAGTGAAAGGAAATTACTAGGTACTTAACTTAGCTCTGATATCATGTTACAATATGTGAGAGAGAGAGAGAGAGAATATTATATATGTTATGTATATATTCAATAGTATGTGTATACAACACTCCTTTATATAGGAGAAG